ATTGATTGATTGATTGATGGATTGAAATCTTTGTAAAAATACATAACATCGAAATAATCACTAATTATCAAGTAGTTCATCACCATCATCGACAACATCACTTTACAAGATAGCATACTGTGATCAAACCACAAACCTGTCCATTCGAGTTGCTATCGAGATCCGTGCATGTTATAGTCAGTATTGATGAGCCAGCGGCWACRCTYTCAAGGACAGACGCAGCGTATATCGTCTCTCCACATACGGGACTGTTATCATTGACGTCAGACACGGTAAYGACAACCGATGCTGTAGCAGAGTTTGAYGCTGAATCTTTAACAGTRATTGTGAAGSTGTAGGACGACTTTGYCTCGCGGTCGATRTTGTTGKTGGTGAATATAACTCCTGTASTTTCATTTATTGTGAAGCTACTACTGTCTACGCCTAGAGACCAAAAAAGAGCAATGTTTCACATTAATATATCTAAACAATTTATACAACAAGCAGATTGTAATTGATATGTAATTAAAATTCATAAAAAATACCTGATAAACTGTAGAAAAGCTGATCTCCATTGTCTTGATCAGTAGCTGTAGCTTGCAGAACGYTRGTGCCAGGACCGCTATCYTCGGAAACGGTTCCATTATACGAKCYCTGTCCGAAYACCGGAGAGTTATCGATTATATTAATAACGCCTATATTTACCGTCGTTGTTCCGGTGTTCGAGCCTTTATCGGTGGCGGTMAGTGTCAACGAGTAGCTTTGTGTCGATTCATAATCGATTGCAGACGCAGTTTTTATCAGACCAGAACTTGTAACAGAAAAATGAGAGCTGCCTGAGCCCGCAAGGCTGTAGGTGTGCGTGTTATCAACGGAGTCTTTGTCCGTTGCGCTGACAACCATTACAGACGAGCCTACTGCCGTGCCYTCGGTTACATGACCAGCATAGAATGCGCTTCCAAATATAGGAGCCTCGTCATTAAGATCAACTAGGATTATTTGAACAGTTGTTAAAGTTTTCCCGCCATTTCCATCGTCTGCCTGTACCGTAAGCAGATACGACGCAGTTTTCTCGTAGTCCATTTTAACCGTTGTAGTAATCTGCCCAGTGCTGCTATGAATTGAGAAATCAGAGCTTGTCATTCCTACAAAGGTGTAGGTAATAGTGTCATTATCTTGGTCTRTTGTTGATACTTGCAGAATACTAGACGCCGCGGCAGTTCCTTCGTTGATTGACACGTTGTAGGGAGTGTTTACAAACACCGGTTTATCGTTATTATTTGTGACGCTCACCGTCAGTGGGGCGGTAACTGTTTCAGTCCCATCATTGATGTTTATAGTAAGTGAGTAGGAACTCGCTGTCTCATAGTCCATCATAACTGTAGTGCTAATAATCCCTACATTAGATATAGCAAAGTGATTGCTGTTTGTGCCCGTGATACTGTAAGTCAGAGTGTCAGCGGTATCTTCATCAATTGCAGACGTCTGTATGATTCTACTGCCTGGCGACGTGTTCTCTTGAATAGACACGCTATGGGGGGTATTTATAAAAACTGGAGGGTCATTCTTGTCTACAACATTGACTGTCAAAGATGTTGCGTTAGAGCCTCCTGCGTCATCGAAAACCAGCACTGTCAAACTGTACGTAGTCTTTGCCTCGTAATTCAACGCCGACGCTAAAGTAACCAACCCTGTGAGGTAATTCATTGAAAACATCTCACTTCCTTCGCCAACTAAGTAATAYTTCAAAGTGTCATTGTCAACATCGCTTGCAGTGGCTGTGATAACACTTGCGGTTGCATTGTTCTCTGGAACTGACACTACATACGGGGTACTCGTTAGCACAGGATCATCATTGACGTCACTGACGGTGATTGTGATTGGCTGAGATACAGATGAAGTTGCGTCAGTAACAGCTATTGYTAGAGAGTAAGTATTTAGGCTTTCGTAGTCGAGCACTTCAGCTGTTTGTATGAGGCCAGTTGAACTGGAGATTTGAAAGTGAGAACTATTGGCGCCAGATATGGAGAACACAAGTGTGTCGGATGTGTCTTGGTCTTTCGCTACAGGTTTAAAGATAGTGCTTCCCGCAGGAAGGTTCTCGCGAATAGAAGTAATGTAGGGGGTACCTTGAAAGTAAGACGAGATGAAAATTAGTTGGGTAATAGTCTCCTTCACGGTTACCTGCGCCATCTTGAAAGGTAGCCGTGTAGCGCTTAATAGTCTCCTTCACGGTTACCTGCGCCATCTTGAAAGGTAGCCGTGCCTTTGCATCGAAGCGAGACAACCGTTGAGTATGTAATGATAGAAACCTTCTTTCACACCTACAGACAATTATTCACAGTTTTCTATCATTGCACGCTCAACGGTTGTCTCGCTTCGATGTAAAGGCACAGCTACCTTTCAAGATGGCGCAGGTAACCGTGAAGGAGACTATTACCATAAATCGAAATCATCTCAGTCAGCAAATGTTTTACTGTTTTAGTCATAAAAATGGYTTGAGTACATTGTGTTAACACATTCAATAAAATAAATCACGGGAAGAGAAGCTTTTCAAAAATTCAACGCACTGCACTATGGTAAGCCGATTGGRTCTATCTAAATTAACTCGGGCTTCCTTTTGAAAAAGTCCATTTTTCTTCGATTTTTATTCTTTTATTTTTTCAAAATAACTTTGTTACAGCATCAAGCATTGCAAAATGCAAAGCAAAAATAATGAAATCCAATTAAGATTAAACGCAGCACTGCATCATATCAGTCGAAATTCAGCAGGGTTTTATATATGGGCAGCCCGAGTTAAAGTCAGATTCAGATTAGGAACAACGACTATGAGGAATCTAAGGAGTAGAACTCCGCTTTCTTTTCCTTCCTTCCTAACCCCCTCTCCTCGGCTCTGGTATTTATTTTTTGCCTTAACACAGGAATCCCACAGAGTAGATATACCTGCGAAGGAGGCTGTTCATTTACCTTTAAAGACAGGTGCGTCATTTCTGTCAATCACATGGACAGTCAAACCCGTTGTTGCTATGGTACCCTTTCCGTCAGATACATGRATCGTTAGACTGTGCAATGACTGGTCTTCGTAGTCGAGGGCTGTTGTTAAGGAGACSACGCCCGTTGACGAATGGATGTCAAAAAGATTGCTACTCGCTCCAGACATGGAGAACGTCAAGGTGTCCGTGGGGCCTGAAAAGATACATGGGATACATAGTGGTCCATCTAAATGTATACGTGAAAATTTTCAGGGTATACACGACCTTCAAAAATGGCGGTAGTTCACGACCGTCAATATTGGGGGACTAGTGACGAATCATGGAAACGAGACCTCAGAGGCCTTCCATCTAGAAATCACAACGAAGATCGTATGTAGGCAGTGTCCAAAAGTTTGAAAGATATATTGTTATGTAATTTATAACAAAACACTCTTGCAAGACATCTGTGAAGTTTAGTACACGGATTCTGGCCTTTGAGACCTCGTTTAATGCTTCATCCGCTGTGCCCTTGGCGACCGTGACATCGCGCGCCATTTTTGAAAGTTGTGAATGCTTACCGGTGTCTTGATCCGTCGCGCTAACTGTGTATACTGATGCSCCAGCATCATTTTCATTGACGCTTGTATTGTATGGTGCATCAGTGAAGGTAGGAGAATCGTTTACATCAGTTACACTTATAGATATTGCGGTTGTCACTGATGTCGTACCGTCGTTAACGGTCACTGTGAGGGAATATGAACTGACGGGCTCATAGTCAAGAACCTGTGAAAATTTTAGTATTACTTGATTATAAGTTAATCGTCCAGTTTAGTCCAATGACAAATGATTATTTTATAGGTCTGGCTATCGTTGGCAATGAAAAATTATGTCAGCCTAAAATCCTGATGTATTCCATAGCAATCACCAATGGATAATCTTGCAATAATTATTTCATTTTTATATTCCCATCTTCACACATTTATAATTGAACAGTTATGTAAAAAGATAAATTTTTAACACCGTGACTAAAGTAGGTAAAATAACTTACTGACGTTTCGAAGGATAATGCTTCCATATCTTTACTCCGAGGCTCCGACGAAGGATTATCGTCCAAAACGTCAGTAAGTTATTTACCTACTTTTTTACGGTGTTAAATGTATCTTTTTACATAACTGTTTTTTTAGAAACAACGACGCAGCTCACAATAGTTTACCGCTAGTTCCCACTATTCAAAAGTGAGATTATTATCRTACCTGGGATGTAGTAATTACTCCAGTTGAACTCCCAATACTAAAATGTCCATGGTTAGTRCCACTAAGTGAGTAAGAYAAACTATCCGACGCATCCTCATCAGTGGCTGTAACTTTAAACACATGGGAACYCCCAGCACAATTCTCCGCTACCTGCGCTGTATAAGGTGCATTTACGAACACAGGTGCGTCATTTGCGTCRTTCACAGTTACATTAAGATTCGTTGAAGTACTGCTCGATCCATCAAGGACAAAGATTGTTAAAAAGTAGTAAGATGTCTTTTCATAGTTTAATGCTTTGGCGAGGGTTACAGCTCCAGTGGTTGGGTTCAAAACAAAGTCCTCACTTCCTGATCCCRACATAAAGTACTTCAAAGWGTCCGAATCAGCGTCTGWTGCACTRACAGTRTAYACAGCCGAACCGCTTRAATTCTCATCAACCGTCGCAGAATAAGGCGAATTAGTGAATACAGGGACATCGTTTTTGTTCYTRACAGTGATTGTTATYGMTGCRGTACTAGYAGCTGTTCCATCAGAAACGCTCACTGTTAGCGAATRCGAACTGACGGTCTCGTAGTCAAGTGCCTGGGCAGTAGTAATGAGTCCTGAACTCGAAGATATAGAAAAATGCCCACTATTTGACCCAGACAGACTGTATGWTAGACTATCGCCAGTGTCTTGGTCAGTGGCTGATACTTTTAKTACGCTTGYTCCAGCATTGAGGTTCTCATCTATTGTCGTTGAATATGGRCTRCCMAGAAATGTTGGCAAGTCGTTGGTGTTAGTCACTGTYATTGTTAACGTAGTGGTTGCWTCTCCTCCTTTGTTGTCAGAGGCTTTTACTGAAAAAATAAACACAATTTCTGGTTTAAGAAATAACTATGCCATAATGATTAGTCCAGATCTCAAACAAGAATACATGTTTATAGCAACTCGGTATGTTTTTCGACAAATTGTGACAACTTATGGCAAATCATAAGAAAATATTTATCTTTTTTATCATATAATTATCTATGAAAAAGGTCTATATTTCTCCTTTTCACTAACATTCGAGCTGAAGTTTCTCTATATAGTGGAAAAGAAAAAAGGTATTTTACGACATAATTTGGTTCCATATGTAATTATATGACAAACAGAATCATTACACAGTCGATTTGAGATACGAATTATGTCTTCTCGTGTTGAAAATCTCTCACTTGTTCGCTACGCTCAGTCGTGAGAGATGTTTTCAACACTCGAAGATAAAATCCGTATAACCGCGCGCCCATGTAATATCCTATATAGTAGCAATTACTTCTACAGTATTTTGATATACTACATTTAAGTCGGATTTCAATGATGTATGCCAGGGCCTTAGAGGTACTAAGCGCCCTGATGTATGCTTACCAGTAAGTGAATAAGACGACGTGTGTTCATAATCCAACACATAATTCGTCTTAACTTCCCCCGTTGCYGCATTTATAGCAAAATGAGTCGCACCAGCACCAGATAACGAAAAAGACAAACTATCTCCATCGACATCGGTCGCATTCACATTATAAACACTTGTACCAACTGCGGTAGCTTCCTCAATACTTGTCGAGTAGGGAGAACCCGGAAAAGTTGGCGCGTCGTTTTTGTTATTAACAGTAACTGTAACCGCTTTGCTTGAAGTTGTCGTCCCATCACCAAATGTCACTGTTAGACTATAGCTATTTGTAGTTTCAAAGTCTAGTGCACTTGCTGTTTTGATCATACCATTACTAGTGATTGAAAAATGACTGCTTCCAGATATAGCATAGGTAACAGTGTCCCCATCYTCGTCCRTAGCAGACGTTTGTACCACATTGGTYCCTATCGAGASGTTTTCATCAATRCTTGCAGAATATGAACTGCTGATTGACACCGGTGCGTCATTGGCGTTTGWAACAGTGACTGTAAGAGARGTTGTAGCCAGCCCTCCTTTGCTGTCAGAGGCAGCTATTGTTAATGAGTATGATGATCTTGATTCGTAGTTCAGCGCATGGCTAAGAGTGACAACACCGCTGGTTGGATGGATGGARAAGTCAGAGCTTCCTGATCCAGACAGACTGAAGGACACTGAGTTTCCTATAAAAAATGATTTATCGAGTTTCAATTCACATCACAAGAGTTATTTTCCCTAAGACCTACGTCACCATCATAGTCCATATCGCAACCCGCGGAAAGCCTTGTGACGCAATGCATTTTGGGATTGATAAATGAGTAAACAAGTGAACAACGATGTCAGTGCTCCAGTTGTCTGTAAYGTAGACTCAGTTTTCGAAAAACATTGGGAAATATTGATATTGTAGTTAATCTCAAAAGCGAAAAAACAAACAAATATCAACATGCAAGGAAATACAGCAAGAAAAACCTCCAAAAAATGTACAGTTAATCAAGAATTTCCATTTACTAGGCAAATCAAGCAAAAATGAAAAGAAACATATTTTGTCTGTGGAAAAATCGAAACT